GCATCCGCCAGCCTAAGCCCTCTGACCCCAAGCAAGCGCCATTTTCTGCCGAGGCAAAGGAGTTTGTGCGCAAGAGGGTCATCGGAAAGCACGTCAAGGTCACCATCAACGGTAAGAAGCCCGCCAATGAGGGATATGAGGAGAGAGATGTTGCCACTGTTGTCCACGGAAACACCAACATTGCTTTGGCTCTCGTTGAAGCAGGATACGCCTCAGTAATCCGTCACCGTCAGGATGATGATGACCGTTCCCCCGACTACGACTCTTTGTTGATCGCCGAAGCCGACGCCCAGAAGGATGGCAAGGGCATGTGGTCTCCCAAGCCCCCTAAGGCAAAGCAGTACCAGGACTACTCAGAGAGTGTACAGAAGGCGAAGATGGAAGTCTCTATCCTGCAGCGTCAGAGACGTGTGCCCGCTGTCGTGGATTTCGTCAAGTCAGGATCGCGTTTCACTGTTCTTGTGCCCCGGGAGAACGCCAAGTTGACTCTCGTCCTGTCCGGTATCCGCGCCCCTCGGTCTGCCCGTAACCCTGGCGAAGCATCCGAACCCTTTGGCCAGGAGGCTCATGACTTGGCAAACAGGCGTTGCATGCAGCGTGACGTTGAGATCGATGTCGAAACTATTGACAAGGTCGGCGGTTTCATCGGCACAATTTATGTCAACAAGGAGAACTTCACTAAGGTGCTTCTTGAGGAGGGTTTTGCTACCGTCCATGCTTATTCTGCAGAACAGTCCGGACATGCAACGGAATACTTTGCAGCAGAGAAGAAGGCCAAGGAGGCGCGTAAGGGTCTGTGGCACGACTGGGATCCCAGCAAGGATGTAGAGGAGACCGAGGAGGAAGCCGTCGATACCAATGGAGCTGAGAACGAGGTTGCTCAACGCCGCAAGGATTACCGTGATGTGATGGTCACGTATGTTGATCCCACCAACGGTCGGTTGAAGATCCAGCAAATCGGTACTGGCACCTCTGCACTTACAGAGCTGATGAATGCTTTCCGTTCCTTCCACTTGAACAAGGCCAACGACACACCACTGTCCGGGGCCCCCAAGGCTGGTGATTTCGTCGCCGCGAAGTTCGGCGAGGATGACGAATGGTACCGCGCCAAGGTACGTCGTAACGACCGTGAGAAGCAGCAGGCTGAGGTTGTGTACATCGACTTTGGTAATTCCGAAGTCCTTCCCTGGTCTCGCCTGAGGCCATTGGGCCAGCAGTTCTCCGTTCAAAAGCTTCGCGCTCAAGCTGCCGACGCTGCCCTCTCAATGGTTCAGTTCCCCGGTACCGAGGACTACCTTCAGGACTCTGTGGCGTTCTTGGAGGACCAGCTCTACAACCGGGAACTTGTTGCCAACATTGACCATGTGTCTCCCGAGGGCACTATGCATGTGACCCTGATGGACCCCACCGAGTCCAAGAACCTTGACCATAGCATCAATGCTGACATCCTCCGGGAGGGACTGGCCATGGTCCCCCGGAAGCTGAAGGCGTGGGAGCGCTCTGCCACGGAAACACTATCGCACCTGCGGAGCAACGAGGATGAGGCAAAGCAGGAGAGACGCGGTATGTGGGAATACGGTGACCTTACTGAGGACTAAAGGAGTCGTCAGATAATGAAGTTTTCGTTCGAGGTCATGAATGGAGGAATTGTGTATAAATATTTGCGGGTAATCTACAACCATCCACGGGAAAGTGGGTTGTGTACTTTGGGCACTTTACGAGATCCTTGAGCATAGTCTCGGATGTGTTCGCTTTCTTTTAGTATTATTATCTTATTCTGAAATGAGAATCTCTTAAAAGTTGGATTGGTTGGATCAAGACCCCGGGATTCGACGCATAATGCACGGTTATGTGTCCTGACGTAAGCAGAGCCCAGTAATGCCCGACTTCGCCTGTCCAAAAGTAATTCTTCTGACTACAAGTCATCAATTCTCCGATTCAGCTCATATTCGTGGTGTCACTTGTCATTTGGCGGTACTCCAAAATCCCCCGCACCCCTATTGTATCCGGAACGTCTTGATCTTGCACCCACTAGTTGTCGACCGACCTTTTACACATTTTAGATCAAACTTCCGCCGCGGAGTAAAAAAAGAGTACATACAAGAAATCGACCGTGCCAGACGCCGGAACGACGACGATCGTCTTGCCCCGTGCGTCAATCGTTTATTTACGGGGTAAATCCTCTCTTCCGAGCGATCCGAACAACCGTTGGTCCCAAAAAAAAAACCCCCAGAACCAACACCGAAGAATACACGATGCCTCTGTGGGGGTCGAAGTCGAAACCAAGTCAAGAGAGCGCCAACGCCGCGCTAGAGAGTGACCCCAAGAACGACCCGGTTGCGTCGGCTTCTCAGGCGGCGGGCACGGAATGGCTAGCTGGACATTTGAACCATCTTACTGAAGATCAGGAGAAGAAGCTGCAGGAGTTCAAGAAGGTGTGCGAGGAGAATGCGTATTACAAGCCGCGCAGTGACACCGAGGAAGCAAGTCACGATGATGCGACGATGTTGTATGTTTCCACCCCCCCCGCCTCTGTTGTGCTTTGGGGAGGGAGTGTTCGGTGCTAACCGGGTGTGAAGGCGATTCTTGCGTGCGCGCAAATTCGACGTAAATGGTGCTTGGGGCCAGTTTAAGGATACCGAGGACTGGCGCAAGGAGAATGCCATTGAATCGCTGTATGAGAACATCGATGTCGAGTCGTATGATGCCGCTCGGAGGATGGTCTGTGTCGCTGTGTCTGGGTGAAGATACTCGAATGCTGATTTTGGAGGACAGTACCCCCAATGGACCGGTCGTCGCGATCGCCGCGGTATCCCCGTCTACGTCTTCGAAATCAAGAATCTGAACAGCAAGAACATGGCTGCTTATAATTCCACCATGTCCGATCCTTCCGCCACCGCAGAAACCCACAAGTCCTCCAAGGTGCCGCAGCGCCTTTTGCGCCTGTTCGCCCTCTATGAGAACCTCCTCCGCTTCGTCATGCCTCTGTGCTCCCAATTATCTCGGCCGCACCCCGATACGCCCATCGTCAGCTCAAATAATATTGTCGACGTCGGTGGCGTGGGTCTGAAGCAGTTCTGGGATCTGAAGGGACACATGCAGGACGCCAGTGTTCTGGCTACAGCTCATTATCCAGAGACGCTGGACCGGATCTTTGTAAGCCTACCTGGTTAACCCGTTGGGGGGAATTCATGCTAACGAGCGGAAGATCATCGGCGCACCGTCCTTCTTCCCGACAGTATGGGGCTGGATCAAACGCTGGTTCGACCCGGTTACTACCTCGAAAATCTTCATTCTCTCCTCCTCAGAAGTCCTCCCGACTCTTAAGAATTTCATGGACACAGCCAGCATTCCAAAGCAGTATGGTGGCGACCTGGAATGGCAGTGGGGAGATATGCCGAACCTGGACGACGAGGCACGCAGTCTCGTCGGGGGGTTGGAGACTCCCCCAGCCGAGGGTGAGACCAAACCCGGTTTCACGAAGGGTCCCCTCCTGTTCAAGGGCGACAAGATCGAGATCCTCGGCAAGGTGAACGGCGAGAGCCGGAAGAGCAGTATCCCTGTGCCGACATCGCAGTCTGGTGAGACAAAGCCGCCCGCCGAGCAGGACAAAGCCGCTGAAACCCCCGTCAACGAGAAGGTTGGCCTGGAGAATGCCGCCGAAACGCCCAACGGCGAAGTGACCGCATAATCGATCTTTCAATCTGGATACAATCTACATATTTAATACTCGGTGATCTGAGAATTGGCGTCATGGTTCACCATTGCATAATTAGATATATATTTCTTTTATTCAGTTTAACTTGGTCTGGGACATAAAGTACAGATGGATAGAGTATATCAAATCCAATTACCAAGTCTATTGTCCACTGCAAATAGTCGCAACCTGCAATACAAATTAGAACCAAAGTCATCTAACTTATCTTATGCAAATTACTCATCTTATAACCCAGGTAACAATAGAATTATATAAGCAAGACAGGATGGTGGAGTGGTTAACACGTAGCACTGCTATTAGCCTAGTAATGCTATGCCTTCGGGCGCCTGCGTTCGAATCGCAGTTCTGTCGTTTTTTTTATACTTTTGTATTCTATATATACTTTACAAAGTAAACTTTTTTTTTCTATGTATAAATAATGCAACGTGTAAGCGTGTACTTTGGTAGAGAATGCCATCGGCTCTGTTTCTGGGTATGGCATGGGATCGGGATACATTATCTATAACTTGAATGAATGAACATATATGCCACATACAACTGTATATATTTTGAGCCTTGGTAGTGAATAATAGTCAATCTTAGATTTAGTTCTCTCAATCCATTTCCAAGTCAATACTACCAAGACATTGAACATGTTTAGATCCTAACCGTTGTATATAGTACACAGTACATCATTTAGGAAGGATCATTCCAACAAAGAAAGACAGAAGATAGAGTAACATATTAAATACCATCAGTCTATTCTAAGGGTAGTACACTGTACAACCCCTGATCCCAGAATTATAGTTTCCATTTCTATAAATCTATTTTATACAGAGTTTTTACCATAGATAGGGGTGCATGTGGTAGCATCAACTTCCACTGGTACTTACTGGTAATTAGACCGTGTATCTGATAAAGCTACTCGGACTATAGTTCACGTTTGAGATTGGTGTCTTCGACTTTGTGAGGTTGTTAAACTCATGATGTATTGAGTAGCTTGATGTTCTCTAGTGTTTGGATGAAGTTGACTGAGTTATCTGTTGTTAGAAGTGAGATAGACGAAGTTGTAAGCTGTTCCTATTGTCTTACTTTTATTTGTATGTTGTATAGATGGTGGAGGTAGTCTTGCTAGTTTGGTAGATTGTATACTAATTTAGTAAGGGGTCGGTGTGGCCGTCAACTGAATTTGTGGTGGTGTTTCCTGTAGATGGTATATACATTGGGTTTGTAGGTGAAGATTTATCGAGTACCGTGGTTGAATGCCAATTATATACCAAAATAAAGTAAAATAGATATCGCCGACAAGATGGTGGAGTGGTTAACACGTAGCACTGCTATCAGCCTAGCGCCTAGTAATGCTATGCCTTCGGGCGCCTGCGTTCGAATCGCAGTCTTGTCGTTTTTTGATTTCCAGATTTACTCAATCAATCAATCCTTTTTTTCTTTTTGGCACTAATTAATTATTATGTTTATGTACGAGTAATGCTCTAGTATGTTTATCTAGTCTTACATGTGCATACAGTCAAAATAATGTCATTAATACTTATACACTATATACCTATGTCGCCTTCCATAATTGGTCGATTTGCTTCTTCCGGACCTGTAGACAATTAGCTATGCACGGTAAATGTATTGCAAGGAACTTACCATTGGCGACAGAACCACTACTCCAATTGTCAGCGCCACGATCGTCAGCAGCAACTGCACCTTTGAGAAGCCCTTGCCCAAGATATCAAACGCTTGGCTGGGAGTCGCCCGGGTGGCGAAGATATCGCTGCCATAGGCGAACACCAGACTGGTACTTTCGAGAAGGGTGGGCGCCGACAGGACGTTCTTGATGCCGGCCACATCGCGTGCGTGAGAGATGTACCACTTGCCGTCGAATTCGAGGTAGGGGCTGTACTTGAACAGGCCCTCCTCTGCCTCGGAGGCCGTGGGGTCGCGGCCGACGGGCCGACGGGCGTCCAGGACGTGCCGAGGAATGCCGACGATCGACTTCGAGGAGGGGAGCGTGCAGAGCAGCTGCCGGATGGTGATGCCCTGACGGGTCTGGGTGACGGCCATGTGGGAAATGGGCTCGGGAATCATATAGGCTTGAGCCACAACGTACGGGAGAGGGAGGGGTTCGAGGCTGGAGTAGTTGGCGGCTGACCCCAGAGGGCCGCGGTCATTGGGGATGGAGGATTCGTAGAGCTCAGAAATCACCAATTGATAGCCCTTCGCATCGGACGTCTCCGTGACATCGCCCCAGAAGGAGTAAGCGAACCAGTTCTCGGAGATAGCCGAAGCAATGGGCTGCGTAGTATCGACCCCATCCTGTCTGCTGGCATGAAGGATCTGGCCGGAGACGGCATCGAGCAGGTAGAAACTAGCCGACTTCTTGCCCACGGCGGTGACGAGGACCAGATTAGGACTCAAGTATTTGTATAGTACCGACCGATTGCCCAGGACCTTGCCGATAGATGCCACTGGATCGTGAGCGGGTCGGGAGGTAGCACGGATGATCTTCTCGCCTCGTGGGGGTATAAAGCTCCAAACTGGGACCTTGTTGTCGCCAGCACTCCAGCCCAGAATACGACCATCATCGCTGAGTGTCACTAAGAACCCTGGAAGGTCTATAGTCCCGGTAGGGGTGCCATCTTCACGGATTCCAATCACAGAGTCATCAAGCAGAGCAACCGAGCGAAGCTTGGCGCTGGCCGGGGTTCGTTTGATGATGTTTCCGGAGGTAATTTCCAAGGTAACCGAGCTACCGTCGTCGGCGTAAACAGTGGCAAGGCCTGGTGCGGTGACCACTGCTTTGGGATTCCAGGTCTCTGTTTCCGCCGCCTTGACGCTCCAAGAAACAGCGCCGTGGTTTCCGCTGTCGAGGGCATACACACGCCCATTCTCGGTAGCAACAATCACTGGCTTGGAGATTCCGAAACTGTCCAGGTTCGTGATCTCGTCGGTCACGAAGCTAGTAAGAATACGCGTCGGCAGTTCCTTCAGCCACGCCGGAAGATGTTCAAGGTCCTTCACGTGGCGCTTGACGCGATGCACATATGCTCCGTAAAGACTTTCGTGGCCTTCCACCTCAAGCTGATGGGCCAAGTCCTCCTGATACTCCTCTTCAGCCCAGTTGGCAGCCAATGCACCAGCCAAGGCCTCGTATCTGGTCCACTCCGCCTGGCCATTCCGAATCAATTGCCAGTCACCGGATTCCAAGGTGGCAGCCGACCGAACGGCTACACTGTCACCCTTTGTCACAACTTCAGACACTGCTTGCAGCGCGTGTTCCATAGGAGGCGCCTGGAGAGGCCATCTTCCCAAAATAGCATGAGACGCAGAAGACACAACCGTCATCTCGGACTGGGTGATCCGAGTAAAGTAAACATTTGCGTCCTTGGTGCTAGTGGAGAAAACGGACCAGCCCTCCAGGCGAGGGAGGTCGTAAGCTTTGGACACAACGGCCGACTGCAAGTTGATGTGGTAGACCTCAGCCCAGGAACTGGATTCCGTCTGGTAGTGAACCAGGAAATGCGGCAGCGAGTTAAGCTTCTTCGGGGCATGAACGATGATGGAGCGGATCTCCTCGCCGCTGGTGTTCTCGACATTGATGGTGCTGACTTGCTTCGTACCGATGACATTGACCTTCAGTGTCTTTTGGGACTTATCGGCCCAAGCGATCACAGGAGAGGCGGTGTTGGCGCCCACGAACAGCACAGACTCGGGGCTGGAGATGTCACCCTCCGAATTCAAGGTCAATTGCTGATTCAGCTTTCCAGTAAGAAGATCCAAGGACGTGACCTTGACCTTGTACCCTTTTCGCGCAACTGATTGTAAAGAGATGTAAAAGACCTCGGTCGAGGAAGACGAGACTTGAAAGGGAAGGTCTCCACTAGAAAAAACCCGTGTCAGAACTAGATACAAAAAAAAAAAAAAAAAAAAAAAAAAAAAAAAAAAAAAAAAAAAAAAAAAAAAAAAAAAAAAAAAAAAAAAAAGAAGAGATCGAACCTTTCATCTTTGTGCTCCCACTTGATAGCTCCGGAGTCGCCATTCAGTCTTCTCACAGTGCCCGCTGTACCTCTAAAAAGCGCAATCGTGTCTTTAACGGACGGAGAGGAAGCAGCATCCTCCAGCTCCAGGAGCTCAAGGTCTGCCACCGATTGATCGGCGAACCAGTTCTCCCAGATGAGTTTGCCATCCAAAGCACTCCACGATGAAATGTAATCGCCCACCGCACTGACCATCGCGTTCGTTCCGTCGGAAGCCCGTAGGATGCCGCTGTCGGCGACAACCGCGGACCGCGAGACATTTTGTCTCCATACCATCGAGCCATCTCTGGGATTTATCGCACCGAGAAGTAGTTTATGGGAGAGAGTGTAGAGTAAGGATGCATCGGAGGAGGATGAGGGTTTCAGGAAGAAGGTCGAATGGGACGAGGGGGTACCGAGTAAAGCATGGTGGAAGTCGACATGGTCTACCTCATCACGATAGATAGACAGCGCCGAAGGGACGCACGAGGCGAGCAGAAGAAGCGTCGCCTGTAACCGCATGGTTGTTTACGGGGACTGATGATCGGGCATGAGGACGCGGAAGATAAGCGTAGAAGAAGAATAGTCGGAGTTGTGATGTTGACATTTGGATAAGACCGCAGGCGGTGATCTAATGCCACTAAACCCCCCCATGCAAATGCCACAACAAATCACAAATCACTTTTTTCTCTCTCCTAATTCTATTTATTCTACTATATTAACTTATAATCACGCCCTCATTTGACCTTCAATTTTTGGAATTATTTCTATGTACAAAATATTCATACCCTTGATATATGCTGAGAGGGCAGAAAAATAACAACATCAGTGATATATATATACTAACAACTTTTCATGCCGAACCAAAACAAGCCTTATTAGCGGCCTCAACCACCTGTCTCTCACCCTCGGTCATATCAGGTGTGATTTCCCACAGTCTGTCGCCCATACCCACGGCGCGTAAGCCCTCCGGGTCCAGTGTATTCCAATCCAATGCGCCCTTGAAACCAGTCTCACCGGGCCCACCGGCCCCCGGGAAATCCCAAGGCGGGGAATATGCCTGAGCAGCCTCACGCTGCTTCAAGAGATAATTCACATTCATGTCGCACATGGGAGTGGCAGGGATGTAGAGTACACTTGAATCTGCCCGACCCCGGTGTTCCTTATCAACCGAATGCAAAGAGTCGCAGTGCCAAGCCACAAAATCACCGGGTTCAACTTCAGGAACAGAGACCATGGTGGTCTCGAGGTCCAGGTGCGGGTGAGTGACCGGATTGTACTCTTGACAAGCTCCCGGTACGGATCCAGGGAAAGTGGCATCCAAGGAAGGCTGCAGCGTCTGGGGGTCGAAGAAGGGTCTGAGGATTGTATAGGCTGTGCTGTGAACAATCATAGGGCAAACGTGCAGCGAACCCTCGCCGGGGGCGGTTTTGGACATGGAGAGCCATCCCTGGAAGAATCTCAGCATGGAGCATGCGCCGGCCCCATTGTACAGATCCATCTTGGCCGCAACACGATGCTTTGCATCCCAGGGGTCGTATTCTTCCCACTTGCCCTCGAGGATTCTGGCGTACACTCGGGCGTACTCAGGATCCTCCCATCGCTCAAGTGAGCCGCCATCAATATGAGGACCCAGAGTAAACTTAGAATCACCAGGCATTCTGATTCGCAGGCGATCAGCGTACGTGAGTGGATTCCGGATGGAGATCTTTGTGCTAGGATCTGACGAATGCCACAAGCGTTGCAGGAAGCGCTGCGTGTCGAGCATGTTAGGGTGTGCCCGGGCTTCAGCCTGCGATGGCGTCCAGTACAACTCGTATACTGCCGGGGACTCTGGAGGAAAGGCCTTCACGCGCTCCTGATTAGCAGCAACGTAGTCTTCGATGCGTTCCTTGTATTCCCTGGCGACTCCACGCGGAAGGACATTTCGGATCACAACAGTTCCGCGGTGACGGATCTCCGCAAGCAATGCCTCCGGCACGCTGCCTGATACAACATCCGAGTAGTCCACCGACGGAATAATCTATACCAATTAGCATCTCGATCATAAAAGTGGCGGCCTCGCACTGCAAGCATACATCACTGCCCTTTTTCTTGATCTTATCTACTTCCTCCTCCAAGCTAGGAAGCAGTCTCTGCCAGCTCCGTTTCAACGCCTCCTCATTTTTCTGCCAGTACTGTAGCTTCAGATCTCTGAAGCGTGGCGGTAGTGGTTCGGGCTTATAGTCCGGTCTTAAACTAGGAAAGACACTTGAGATATCTCCAGCCGCCTTAGTGGTTTGAGTCGAGCTGGAATTTGAAGCAGCGCGAACAGCTGATCTAGAAAGAAACCGTGACATCGCCATATTGAAAAGGACTGGAGTATCTTGAATCACGGATAACT